CCAAAATCTGTGGGATACAACAAAAGTTCTAAGAAGAAAGTTCATAATGATACAGGCCTACCTCAAGAAACAAGAAAAATCCCAAATAAACCATCTGACTTTATACCCAAAGGAACTAGAAAAAGAGGAACAAAGCCCAACATTAGTAGAGGGAAGGAAATAATAAAGACCAGAGTGGAAATAAATGAAATAGAGATTGTGAAAAAAAAGAAAAGATAATAAAAGTAAGAGTTGGTTCTTTTTTTTTAGATTTTATTTATTTATTTGTCAGAAAGAGAGCACAAGCAGGGGGATCGGCAGGCAGAGGGAGAAGCAGGCTCCCCGCTGAGCAGGGAGCCTGATGCAGGACTCGATCCCAGGATCCTGGGATCATGACCTGAGCCAAAGGCAGTCGCTTAACTGACTGAGCCACCCAGGCATCCCAAGAGCTGGTTCTTTGAAAAGATCAATAAAATCAATAGCCAAACTCAAGAGAAAAAGAGAGAGGACTCAAATAAATAAAATCAGAAATGAAGGAAAAGTTACAACTGACACCACAGAAATATAAAGGTTAAGAGATTACTACAATTATACACCAACAAATTGGAAAAACTTAGAAGAAATGGATAAATTCCTAGAAATACATAATCTTCCAAGACTGAATCACACACACAAAAACAAAAAATCTGAATAGACCAATTACAAGTAATAAAATTGAAACAGTAATTTTTAAACTCCCAAAAACAAAAGTCCAGGACCAGATGGCTTCATGGGTCAATTCTACCAAACATTTAAAGAAGAGTTAGTACCTATTCTCAAATTATTCCAAAAGATTGAAGAGGAAGTCTTCCAAACCTACTTTACGAGGCCAGCATTACCCTGATACCAAAACCAGACAAAGATACCACAAGAAAGAAAATTACGGGCCAATATATCTGATAATATAGATGTAAAAATCCTAACAAAATATTAGCAAACAAAATTCAACAATATATTAAAAGGATCATACACCACAATCAAGTGAGATTTATTCCAGAGATGCAAATATGGTTCCAAATTAATCAATGTGATACCTCACATTAACAAAAAAAAGGATAAAAATCATATGATCATCTTAATAGGTGCAGAAAAAGCATTTGACAAAATTCAACATTCATTTAAGATAAGAAAAAAAACTCTCAACAAAGTAGGTATAGAAGGAATGTATCTCAACATAATAAAGGCATATATGACAAGCCCCAGCTAACATCATACTCAACAGTGAAAAGCTTTCAGCTTTTCCTGTAAGATCAGGAATAAGACGAGTTATGTCTACTCTCACCATTTTAATTCAACATAGTATTTGAAGTCCTAGCCACAGCAATTAGGCAAGAAAAAGAAATAAAAGGCATACAAATTGGACAGGAAAAAGTAAAATTGTAACTATTTGCAGATGACATGATACTATATAGAGAAAACCCTAAAGACTCCACCAGAATCTGTTAGAATTAATAAATGAATTCAGCAAAGTCACCGGATACAAAATTAACATACAGAGATCAGTGTTTCTATACACCAATAACTATCAGAAAAAGAAAGTAAGAAAACAATTTCAGGGGTGCTTGGGTGGCTCAGTCGGTTAAGCATCTGCCCTTGGCTCAGGTATGATCTCAGGGTCCTGGGATCAAGCCCTGAATCAGGCTCCCTGCTCGGCAGGGAGTCTGCTTCTCCCTCTCCCTCTGTGCTCTCCCTCCCTCTCAAATAAATAAGTAAGTAAGTAAATAAATAAATAAATAACACAATTTCATTTATAGTTGCATCAAAAATAATGAAATACTTATGAATAATTTTAACCAAGGATGTGAAAGACCTGTACTGTGAATACTGTTTAAGACATTGTTAAAAGAGGGGCACCTGGGTGGCTCAGTCAGTTGAGCATCTGCCTTCAGCTCAGGTCATCATCTCAGCATCCTGGGATCAAGCCCCATTCGGGCTCCCTGCTCAGCAAGAAGTCTGCTTCTCCCTCTCCCTCTGCCTCTCCCCCTGCTTGTGTGCTCTCTATCTCTCAAATAAATAAATAAAATCTTTACTAAAAAAAAAGACATTGATGAAAGAAATTGAAGACATGAATAAATGGAAAGATATTTTGTGCTAATAGATTGGAAGAATTAATATTATTAAAATGTCCATACTACCCAATCTACAGATTCAGTGTAATCCCTATCAAAATACCAATGGCACTTTTAACAGAATTAGAACAAAGTATCTCAAAATGTGTATGGAACCACAAAAAAAATCCAAATGGCCAGAACAATCTTAAAAAAGAAGAACAAAGCTGGACGTATCATGCTCCATGATTTCAAACTATACTACAAAGCTGTATTAATCAAAACAGTATGGTACTGGTATGAACACAGACATATAGATCAATGGAATAGAATAGAGAGCCCAGGAAAAAACCCACACACATATGGTCAATTAACCTATGACAAAAGAGGCAAGAATATACAATGAGGAAGTCTCTTCAATAAATGGTGTTGGGTACATTGGACAGCTACCTGCAAAAGAATAAAACCAGACCACTATCTTATACCATATACGAAAACACATAAAAATTAAATGGACTGAAGACGAATGTAAGACCTGAAACCATAAAATTCCTAGGAGAAAACATAGGCAATAAGTTCTTTGACATCAGTCTTAGCAATATTTTTAGACCAGTCTCCTCAGGCAAGGACAAAAAACTAAAATAAACAAGTGAGATTATATCAAACTAAAGTTTCCCACAGTGAAGGAAGCCAACATAATGAAAAGGCAACCTGCTGAACGGGAGAAGTATCGGTGGGGTTTGTTCCTCCCGGAGGCTTAAGGGAAAAACTGTCCCATGCCTCTCTGGAGGGGGCAGGCTGTGCTTGGCGTTCCTTGGCCATAGCAGTATCATTCCAGTCTCCGCCTCCATCCTCACATGGCCTTCTTCCCTGTGTGTCTCTGCGTCTTCTCCAGTAGTATTGGATGTAGGGCCCACTCTAATAAAGTATAACTTCATCTTAACTAATAACATCTGCAAAGACCCTATCTCCAATGAAGGCTACATGCTAAGGATGTATGAGGACATGAATTTGGTGGGGACACTACTCAAACCACTACAGAAGATAAGCATATTTGAGCATTATTTTAATTAGGACTGTCATTGAATATGTCGGAAACCACTAACTACCTTAACCAGAAAGGGAATTTAACCATGCAGGATTGCCTCCATAACTGGAATGCCCAGGATCGTCCTCCGGCTCCAGGTATTGTTTGGATCCGACAGGGGACTCAGGAGTCCGTCACTCTCCCTCCATTACCACCTCTGCTTACCTCTGTTGGAGCCTCTCTGGTGTGGCCACAGGGCAGATTTCACCTCAGACAGTCTAACAGCAGAGCTCTCAACCATACTGCTTCCCCTGTGTCACAGCAGTAAACACCCCTGTATTGGTTTCCTATGGCTGTGGAACCAATTACCACAAATTCTTCGGTTTGAACAACACCTAGTTGTTAGCCCACAGTTCTGTAGGTCAGGGGACAGCCATAGAGTACCTGAGTTCTCTGGTAAGTGTCTTACAAAGCCAAAATCAGGACACTGATCAGGATGTGTCCTCTTCCAGAGGCTCCCAGCTCATTTGGGTTTTTGGAGGAATGCACGTCTTGCCATTGTACGGCTGGCTCTCAGCTGGGGACCACTGAGCCCCAGGGGCTGCGTCTCTCCATTCAATTCACAGCTTTCTCCCAGGCCACAGCAGTCCTCTCGCATTCCTCTGCTCCCAACTGGGGACAGCGCCCTACTTTTATCTTTTGACCTCCTTCATGTAGTACTTTTTTATTTGTTTTGTTTCTATTTTGTATTGAGGTATAATTGACATATAACACTATATTAGTTTCAGATGTACAAATAATGATCCATATTTGTATATATTAAGAAATGATCACCAGAGTAAATCTGATTAATGTCCATCACCATATAGAGTTACAATTTTTTGTGTGATGAGAACTTTTAAGACTTACTCTTAGCAACTATCAAACGTGCAGTATGGTTTTATTAGCCATAGTCACCACGCTGTACATTGCATCTCATGATTTATTTATTTTCTAACTGTAGGTTTGCACCTGAGAACTCGCTACTTTTGAAGAGTTCCTATGATTAGGTCAGGTCCACCTAGATAATCTCCCTATCCTAAGGAGATAGGAGCCACATGATCTAATCTAATCATGGGGGTAAAATCCATCACAGTCCAGGGACCCTGGACCCACCAGGGACCAGGCAAGGTGTGTATATATCAGTGGTGGTGGGACATAGCTCAGGGGGTCTTACACTACTGCCCACCACACCATGTCTTACAGCTGCTATACCACCAGTGTCCCAGAGGCTGCACGGGATCGGCAGCAAATTAAGCCTGTTTTACCAGTGGAGAAAGTAGACCCAGAGAATCTCCAAAACAGAACCCAATGTGTTTTGAGTCCAGCTTCTACACTGAGGTTTTGCCACCTCTTCCCCACAGGACATGCAGCAAAGAGCTTTGACACCGAGGTCCCCCTGCGTATGGATGCTTTGTGTGGGGAAAACCTCGATCACCCATAGAGCCCCGTGAGAAGTGTTGTGCACCAGAGCAGCTCCTCCTGCTCTCTGGCAGATGGCAGATGAGCTCACTTGGGCCAGGCTGTCTGGTCCGCTCCAAGGGCCACTCACGAGGAAGCAGCGTGTGGGGACGAAGGATCGCCACTGGCTGGCCTGAGCAGCAGGCAGGGAGGAAGGGAGAAGGAATGGCACTGGACAAGGAACAGAGGGAGGGAGAGGTAGGACCATGGAGAGCAATACAAAGAAAAAGAAGATGGAGGTGACATTCAGTCGAATGGAGAGAAAGAAAGTGAAGCTGATGGACCAGGGCTTTCTGTGGGGCAGCGGCTTCCCACTCTGCTCAGGGGGACCCACCCCATGGGTCCCTCTGGGGTGGGCCCCCAAGGGGCTGATGATCGTTTTCAGCCTTGCATCTCCCTCCCCTCAGGAAACCTAGAACAAGCCAACGAGGAGCTGCGGGCCATAATCAAGAAGATCTGGAAGCGGACCAGCATGAAGCTGCTGGACCAAGTGGTGCCCCCAGCGGGTGGTGAGTGCTCCCGCGATCTCCACACCCTTGGCTCTTGCCTGGTTCCTGAGTCCACAAGGCTCGTGGGAGGACTGCTTCTCCCCCCTCCCCGGCCCTTCCTGTGAGGCTCCAAGGCCCTATTGGTTGGAAGGGACAAGGGCGCCATGCCTTCACAAATTCAGATACAGAATGTCAGGTTGGAAATCTGGTCTAATCATACATTTCATAGACTAGGCAAGGCCCCTTGATGCTCAGAGGTTTGGCAGAACTTCCAAGGAAACTCTGCAAAGTATAGGTTTCCCCATAAACTACTAGGCTGGTTGCTCTGGAAATAAAAGGGACCTGGAAAAAGAATCCCCTGGGATCCGCTCTTGGTTGAAATTCTTTTTGTTTTATATAGGGCAGTGTTTCTCTACTCTCTCAAACCCAGTGCCCCTTTTCATAACGAATAGTTTATAATGCCCCTATTACTATCCTGAATGAAAATTATAACCTTCCTACAGAAATAATTTCCAAAATATTAATATAACACCTTTACTTGGGGCACCTGAGTGGCTCAGTCGGTTAAGTGACTGCCTTTAGCTCAGGTCATGACCCTGAGGTCCTGGGATCGAGCCCCGCATCAGGTTCCCAGCTCAACAAGGAGCCTGCTTTCTCCCTCTTCCTTTGCCCACCCTCCTGTTCGTGCTCTCTCTCTCTCTCAAGTAAATAAATAAAATCTTTAAAAACATATATATATAACACCTTAATATAAAATACATTAAAGTCAAATGTTATTCAATATATACACGCTTGGGCACTATGGGTTATGGCACTATGCCAGAAGCTACAGTTAACTGATAAAATACTTGCATGCATCCACTTATGATGAGTAAGTTTGTGTTTAAAGGAACTAAGACAATATTGACTATTGTTGACATTTTGTATTTGTCATTTGAAGTAAGGGATAACTAAGTATATTAAATAATATAATATACACACATATGTATACATATGTACATGCACATACATAGAACAAATGCAGACTGATATAAGCGGGTCAGATGCAGCAGGTGACTCAGATACCACAAGGAACATTGCCATCAGGGATACAATTTTCCAAAATGTAAAGCCCTCTTGGTCAAGTGGAAACAAAGCAAAGTCCATCAATTTACCTAGCAGTTATATTCCTGGGAAATTCTGGATATATTAAAACCAGGCAAAAAAATTATTTTCTGTTCATATGTAAAATGAAGTTAGGTTCTTAGCTCAGGTAAGGACATCAGGCAGAGTGTAAATCTATTATTTGTTGTGCAAAACACGCCTGTGTTTTAAGGGACACATCTGGAACCACCTAATGCCTGTAGCACACTGTGACAACCAAAAAAATCCCACAATTCCCAAAACACTCCTTAATGTTGACACCGGCCCTGTTGAGAACCACTTCCCAAAGGGAATCAGGACTGGAGCTCAGTGAAAAGTCACCTAGACAGGCCAAGCACCACGTGACATTTTGCATACCTTATTTAATCCTTATAACATTGCTGTGACGTTTGCTCAAGAAACTGAAGTTCTTAGAAGCTATGTAGCTGACCCAATGCTCTAGTGTGAGTACCTGGCAGATTGAGAATTCAAACCCAGGCCTGGAGGAAACCAGAACTCCAAGCTCTCTCTGCCCTGCAGCTCTTCCTCACTGACTACCCTAGACAGGGGACTCGGGTTTTCTCTCCCACATGGGAATGAGGTGTTTGCCATGTGGAAGGTCACTACTGCTGTGGATGTGGATATTCCTAAGAGACAACTAAGAGTAGGAAAACCATCTCAGGTTGACTATGTCTAACCTACCAACTGTCTCCTGGGCCCATTTCCTTGAGAAGCAGAAGATGGAGCCAAGAGGCTACTCACAGGGCATGCAATGTTCTCCTTGGAGACTCTTTGGCTTCTCCACCACCTGGTTCATTCCCAACACAGAGGCTGACTATGTCATGTGTAACTTGGGGGTCTAGCCCAGCAGGGACCCAGCGAAGCCACATGGTAAGAAAAGCCAATCTGTCTGGTTTGAAAGCAAAACCCAAACTTAGAGAAGAAAGGTGCTCCTTCCACCAGACTCCATCTTTAACCAGAACTGTTTGCACTCAGGGGACTAGTCAATTTATGATGGTCACCTCAAGTTTTGGAATCAAATAAAAAATTAGTTAGCAATGTCAGTTAATTTTTTTTTACTTTTTTAAAAGTTGCTTTTACACTTTTTTGTTGGTTTTAAAGCAAGGTGGGAAATAATTTTGATAATAGGCTACTTCTACTGTTAAAAAAAAAAGGGGGGGTGCTAAGAATATGTTTGCTTATTTGCAGAAAGCATTTGCAGAAAGACTCTCCGGAAAAATACTCAAGAAACTAATTTTAGAGGGACGCCTGGGTGACTCAGTCATTAAGCGTCTGCCTTCAGCTCAGGTCACGATCCCAGGGTCCTGGGATCCTAGCCCCACATCGGGCTCCCTGCTCGGCGGGAAGGCTGCTTCTCCCTCTCCCACTCCCCCTGCGTGTGTTCCTGCTCTCGCTAACTCTCTCTCTCTCTCTCTGTCAAATAAATAAATAAAATCTTTTTTTAAAAAAGAAACTAATTTTAGAAAGGTTATCTATTGAAAGGTGGTAACTCGGCGGATGGGGGGGTAGGAGAGAGACTTTTCACTGTACACCTTGTAATATATTTTTGCCTTTCTGAACCATGTGAATGGACTACCTCTTTAAAAAAAGTTTAAAAAACTTCAGAAAGCTTGGATGCTGAAAAAAAGTGAATGAAGCCCAACTGAATTCCCCCCTTTACCTCCCTTCTGTCCTTTCTTCTGTCTCAGATGACGAGGTCACGGTTGGCAAGTTTTATGCTACTTTCCTGATCCAGGAGTACTTCCGGAAATTCAAGAAGCGCAAAGAGCAGGGCCTGGTGGGCAAACCCTCCCAGAGGAACGCCCTATCCTTGCAGGTAAGAGGCAAGGAGGGGGTCCACACCCTAAGGAAGGGCCTGATCACCTTCTTCCGACCTCTGGCCAAGGGTCAGAGGCCAGGTCCCTCCAGAACTTTCAGGGAGCTCCAAGCCTTTCCAAAGGTGTGTGTGTGTGAAGGGGTGACACACTGCCTCCCACACACCCTGCTTCCCCAGTCCTGCCTTCTTCATGGCCCCTCCTAATGTGCCTTTATCCTTCCTGGGTGGAGAAATGGATTCTTCCAGTCTGGGGCAGACAAGGGAGGTCTCGAAGCACATCCCTGGTTAGCACACACAGATAAACCCTCAGCAGCTCACCTGCCTAATGGGGAGGCAGCGGGTCAGGCAGCTGGGTGTCCCTCTGGGTTTCAGGCTGGCTTGCGCACACTGCATGACATCGGGCCTGAGATCCGACGGGCAATCTCTGGAGATCTGACGGCCGAGGAGGAGCTGGACAAGGCCATGAAGGAGGCTGTGTCTGCTGCCTCCGAAGACGACATCTTCAGGGTAGGTAGATGCCACAGGAGCACTCTCTTACCTTTATAAAGCTCAGCTGGAAGCAAGAGGGTGGGCTGGCATTCTGCCAAGGAAATCCAGGGTGAATGCCCTGAGCTCTCTGGCAGATTCCAAGCTCTTCCCACTCAGCTACTTCCTATCCCTTGGCCTTCTCCGAGTCTGACTCCAACTCAAGCCTGGGCTCCCAGGACATGGCAGCTCCCAGAGTGTCACTGGCTCTCGGAGAAAGAGGGGAGGAGCCATTTTCTTAAGGGACATGTTTCCTAGGAGAACCTTCTGCATTAGAAGCTGCAAAGCCGTGGGGCCACTTTTGGCCGCATCTAACCTGCAGACCGATTTTGTTTGCCAGCATTCAGAAATCTGGCACATTCAAATAAAAACCTAGACCTCTGACTTCTCTCTAAAATATCAGAGAATCTGGCTTGTGTTCCCACGTGGCAGCAGAGGAGCGGAGCCCAGGGACAATTGTCCTCTTGAGAGAAAGCACGTGTTCTCCCCGTCACAAAAGTCCCCTCCAGCCTTCCTTCCCTCTCCTTTCCTGGATATGGAGGCTGAGCTTCCGTTTTTTGGTGGAAACCAAACCTGACTTGCTCTCTCCATTCATGGTGGTCCCTGCCGAACCCCGAAGGTATTTGGCTAAAATACCTCCAAAGCGAGGGAGAAGCCACCGAGCAGCATCGCGCTGGGGCCCTGCGAGCCCCCACGCAGGGGTCCTGGGCTGTGGAGACACCGGGAGGGAGGACAGCCTGCCCGGCCTGTTGCTGCCCTGTCATCACCATCCTCATCCTCATCACTGTGAAATATCCATCACCGAATGGCCTCAGGGACACAGCACCATGCTCTCACTGCCCCAGCGAGACCCCACAGACCACCTTGCAGATAGCTACTTGCCCACTCGCCCCAGGACAAGGAAAGAATGTTGGGGGAAAACACTGAGTCCTGATCTGAAATCTGTAAGAATTGCCCAGGGGAGAGAAGGCCAGAATATAATTAAAGGAGTCAATGCGTCATCCTTATTTTCAAAACTGTTTGGCCAACATAGTTCCTGGCTCAGTGAGCCAGTTGGATCTCCGTTTTAAAAACTCTCATTAGAATCTCCTGGCCCCTTTCCCCACCCCTCAGCCCTCTCAGTGCCTCACAGCCGCCAAGGCGAGCGAGCAACTGGCTGCAACGAAGGATTGCCATCCTACACTGGTTCTTGAGTCCTCAGGGGGTTCGGTAGAAAGTCCCAGGGCAGCAGCCTTCGTGCTTGGCCGGTCCTGTCCCTCACCGGCCCCCCAGCGGTTTCAGAGGGGACCGTCTGCGTCCCTCCCCTCCAGCTGCCAGGCCACGCGGGCCAAGAGCTCCCCGTCCGCCCCATGCTGCCCGGCGTGGCTGTGCTCTCTGGAAGGCAGACAGCCTTCCGTGCCTTGGCCGAGAAGGAGAGGTAGCTGAGAGGGCTTTCTCCTCCTCCCACCCCTCCTGTCTCGCCCACAGAGGGCCGGCGGCCTGTTCGGCAACCACGTTGGCTGCTACCAAAGCGACGGCCGGAGCGCCTTCCCCCAGACCTTCACCACCCAGCGCCCACTGCACATCAACAAGGCGGCTAACAGCCAAGGCGACACCGGGTCGCCGTCCCACGAGAAACTGGTGGACTCCACTTTCACCCCCAGCAGCTACTCGTCCACTGGCTCCAACGCCAACATCAACAATGCCAACAACACTGCCCTGGGCCGCTTCCCCCGCCCCACTGGCTACCCCAGCTCGGTCAGCACCGTGGAGGGCCATGGGCCCCCCTTGTCTCCTGCCGTCCGGGTACAGGAGGCAGCCTGGAAGCTCAGCTCCAAGAGGTAAGCAGGAGGGTGGGGCATCCAGGGCCTGTGCACAGGGGCCCCACACACTCCAGCCCAGACTGGATGGGGGGTAGAGTTTGGCCCCCAGGGCTACCACGCACCCCTCAAGCTGGGATGGAGGCTGCTGCCCCAGATCCCACCAAGAGATAGGCCTCCCTATATTGCCCTTGATTAAATGTGGCAGCCGCCCTTGGGCGAAGGCATCATGGTCCTGATGGCCGTCAAGTGTCCTGTGATGCTCACTGTGGGACAGAGCCTCCTGTGCTCTCTCATGCTACCCAAGCTGAGGAGCCCAGGCCCCCGCCCCCCAGGATGCTGGCATCCTGGCTATACAACAGACTCTGTTCCCCCGGCCTCTCCCAAGTCTGCACAAACCTGGCCTTTGGCCTAGTTGGGATGGGAATGGAGCTACCTACCACCTCTTCTTTACACCCTTCGCAACCCTCTTGGGAGGGGAATTTTGGTGGCAAGAGGCCCTTCACCGTAGCGCTTGCCCATTCTGCCCCAGTGTAGGATCATTCCTGGTAGTTTGATCTCCCACCACCTGATGCATGCTTTTCTCCCCACCCTCTGCTCCCTGGTGCTCCAGGATGCATTGCTATGATATAATGGGATGGTAGGTGCCTACTGCCGTGCTCTAGGCCTCTGGAAGCACAGCCTGGGCCTAAAGGGTCTCCTCCCTGTTTCTGTCAACAGCTCTGGGTTCCCAAGGCTGGGTGGGAGAGGACATGCCTCCCTGTATCTTGCCACCTCTCTCTTAGTGGACAGCACCCCCACCAGAGCAGGCCGGGCAGATCCCCAGCATGCCATGTTCTTGGGCAGATCTCTCTTGTTCACGAGCTTAGAAAATAATTGTGATGTGTGAGTGTCTTTTTGGACAAGTGTCCTGAAGCTGCTTTCATCTAAGGAGCCAGCATACCTGCCCCCTGGTTTTCACTTCCCTTCTTAACACCCACTTTCAAGTGGCCCCATGGACACCTACATGGCCTGGGCATTTAATGGTGTCTGATGACAGCCAAGTCAGATTGGCCATCAGTCTACTTTACTGTCTGGAAGAATGGCTGGTGAAACCACCTGAAAGCAATGTTGTGTGAGTCCTTCTACTCAAGAGATGTATGTTGAGGCCTTCCATGCTCAGGGCAGTGTGCTCAGCCCTGGATTTTTTATGCTGATCTGAAAGGTTAACTTTGCACAGGGGAGTATCAGAGTTCAAGTGGCTGGCCCGTGCCTGTCTTGGGGGCCCCTCCCTTTTCTACAAACCTCCTACGAACTTCAGGGACTCAGTTCTGGTGCCATTTTCTCCCTTGCTCCCCTTACCAAAATCTCTTCTTTAGGAAGGCTCATTGTGTCCATCATTAGCATCTCAGTCTGAACTAATACCTCCTTCAGAGAGTATTTTCCTATTAAACTGTGGTCTGTATTAAATGAAGGGGGAGTGGTTTTTAAGAGAGGAGGTAGGGAGAGACATCGGGGGATTTTCTTCTTCTCCCCACAGATCCCTCTATCCATGAACTACGGTACACGCAAGAGCCTAGCACAATGCCCAGCACATAGTAAATGCTCACTAAATACTGGCTCCCTCCCTCCCTGCACAGTGAGAAAAACAACACTCAAGGCAGTAAGCTTCAGCTTGGTGAGGAGGGACAAGTTAAGCCAAGTTGTAGCTCTGGGGTCTCAGCCTTCGTGTTGCAGCTCAAGGCTAAGTTCAGTGGCCCAACACTGGCCTTGCTTTTACTGGGGACAGGCCAGCATGTCTTGTACACAGCGGCCCCTGAGAAGTGGTGTTGCCTGCCTGTTGCCATTCTCCACCTCCCGCTCATCCCATGATGCCTCCCCAAAACTCCTTTCACCTCTCCTCTTCCCACCCCATCAAAAGCCTTCAACATTTCATCTGCCCTTACTGTGGGATGGGCAGCCACCTGGTAGGGCCTGCTCCAGAGAACCGGGTAGGTACCCGAGGAGGGTAGCTTCCTGAGTTGCCACAGCTCAGAGGCCCCGGGTCAAACCTAGGGCACTGATCCAGCACTCGGCCCTGAGAGGATTAACTGGGATCTTTCCCTCATGCCTTCATGGGTTTGGGAGTAAAGTGAGCCCCAGCATTCAGGATCTATAGGAAGAAAGACTGAAGGAGGTACTGAGAGGCACAGACAGGAAAAGGGAGAACACCTGGGCCAAAGGGTGAGCAGAATCATCCAGGGCACACCCTGGTGCAGGAGGGTCTCGAGCTCAGCAGGGACTCAGGCTCACTGCGCAGGAGAACAAACTCATCGACGTGAGGCTTCTAGTCTTTGCCGTCACTCTAAGCCGCTAATATCAAACCCAAAGGCATGGCAAAATGTGACCCCAGGAACTTCCCAGCTCTGCCCAACCAGCACCAAAGGCCTGGCTGTCTCTAGCAGAGGGAGAGGACAGCCCTCTCAGGACCCACCCCAGCCCGTATAGAGCACCCCAGGCCCCTGTTTTAAAAGCTGGACCTTTCCACCTTTCAAAACCCCATCTCATCTGTTAATTCATTTGTTACTCATGACAAGTCTCTGAGTCAAGCAGGGCATACGCTACTCCGATTTTATTGATGGGGATACGGAAGCATGGGGGGTGGGCCAGTGACTCATGCCAGAAGGCAGTTGAATTGGGGTCCGAACTCAGATCTCCTTGGGTCCTAATCCGGAGATGCTTATTCCGTATGGAGTCCTCATCCTGATCTTACTGTTTCTGTGGCTCTGCTGCTTCGTCAGCAGCTGTGGGAGGAAGAGGCCACAGCAGTTGTGTGAGTGTGTGGGCATGTGTGTGCACGTGTTCGCTGTGTGAGTGCGGGGCACGTGTGTGTGTGTTCACTCTGTGTGTGGGCGTGTGTGTTCACTGTGTGAGTGTGTGGGCACGTGTGTGCGTGTTCGCTGTGTGAGTGTGTGGGCATGTGTATGTGCGTGTTCACTGTGTGGACACGTGTGTGTGTGTGTTTGCTATGTGGGTGCATGTGTGTGCGTGTGTGAGTGTGTGGGTGTGTTTGCAGTGTGGGTGTCTGCGCGTGTGTGTGCGTATGTTTGCTGTGTGGGTGTGTGGGCGGGTGTGTGGGTGTGTGTTCACGAGTGTGGGCGCGTGTTCGCTATGTGGGCGCGTGTGTGCATGTGTTCGCTGTGTGTGTGGGCAGGTGTGTGGGTG